TGTATTCAAATTTATGAACAGATCCACTAATAATAAATCGGTTTGAGATCTCTGCCCCACAGTAGATCATAGTTGCTATATAGAATGCTCAAATAGGTAGTTGCACAAGCAATGCGAGTGATTCAGGCCGTGGTAATTAAAATTAATATTAGTGACCATGTTTTTAACCTATAGCAAATTAATAATAATTTCTTTAACATGTTACCTAAATTACACGTGACAACATTAGAGCTTAATATTATAATGTTGTGTAGGATTGTAGGCACAATATCGTTTGACGATATCTATAAACTAAATTATTTGACGTCTATATTGCAGTAACTATAGGTACCTATTATTATAACGTAGTTGACCTAACTCGACCAAATCTAGTCGATTTTTTCCTATTAATTTGCACGCCTATATAATATACGACAGATTGACGAGCGGGGGAGTGGGTATACAGCAGTATAATATTAGATCGACACCCACATCTGTGATTGAYCTACCTATGTGTGCGGATAATACCTGCAACAGCACTTGGACGGCGGCGGTGTGACCTTTGCGGCATGCCCAGTGCACCGGCTTGGAGCCCTGGATCCCGTAGCACGACATGTCCACGGTCACGCCTCTGGCCACCAGGTACCTGAGCACCTCGGCGTTTCCGTAGAGCGCGGCCCAATGGGCAGGCGTGTAGCCCCATTCGTCCCGGAAGCTGAGCGCCTCACCGCCGCACTTGTCCACAGCGAACTCGAATCCATCGTAATCGCCGGTCTTGATGGCCTCCAACAGTGGCTTGTACCGTTGGTCCTCGGAGCTGTGCACGTCCAGCGAATCGGCCGAACACCCATCGTGCATGCCGTCGTTGTTATTATTGTTGTTGTTGACGTTTATGTCGTCAGCGTTGTTGTTGTTGCCACTGTCATTGCCGTTGCCACCGGCACTGCCACTGCAGCCACTGCTCACCATGACGTTACGTCACGCAGTGTTATCGATTTTCTTCCAGCGTATCGCGTCGTCCGAGGAAAAATTGTGTGGTTATATTTTGTGTAAAATTAGGTAGATACCCGTTATACTAGTAAACACCTGTCCTGCGGTTGGTGTCGCGAAAAAATAGAAAAAAAATTTGGGAAAAAATT